TCTTCTTGATTCACACCTTTCTCTTAATCCAGACATAAAACATTCAGTTCTTTTCTAATAAGATAAACCAATTAACTCCCGTATTCACACCTTTCCTGTTGTTTTCCACAATTAGGGATGTCATTGAGACTTAAATAAGTTAATTAGGACAATATTGGTTCTTTGATTACATTGCATATGTAAAGATAATAAGAACTATAACATTGACTCAATATGTGGCTATTATTGAAATGTCCAGACATTTGATTTCTGATAAAATGTTCAGATTAGACAGGTCAGTTTTTCAAATCTGATTGTTCACTGTTCAGATTAGGAGGTGTTCAGATTTCAAGGTTTTTTTAACATGGGAGTCAATGGGAGGAAAAAATGGGACCGAAAAAAAATGTTCAAATTGGAAGGTGTTCGGATTAGCCAGGTGTTCAGATATACAGGTTTTACTGTATAAGTTTACCATTGTTTGCTCGTCTACATTATGCTCAGGAAAATTCAAGAACATTCCACCATAATTAAATTAGATATTTGCATTTTATGTTATCCTGTGTGTGTTCTCAACAAATCATGGGCATGTCTATGGACAAACCATTAAACAAACCAATAAACTGATATATTCAATGGACTCGGTATATTTTAATGAGAGAGTAGCTTTTAAACGTTTCTCTGTATTTGGCTTCTCACATTTATAAAAAATGCATAAGTATTGCATCAGAACCCATCTATACCCCTGAACAGAAATAAAAATAGTCAATGTACACTGGCGGATTAGGGGGGGGGCCCAGGGGCCCGGGCCCCCCCCCCCCCTTGGGTGGGCCCAGAAAAAAGAAATTGGGCCCAAAAAATTTTTTGGGCCAAACAAGGCCTTCAGGCCCCAAAAAGTGGGCCTCTTTGGTCATTACTGGGCCTTTTAAGGCCTTATTTGTTAATTTCAGGCCAAATTTTGAAGAAAATGGGCCTCAAAATTTCAAAATTTGGGCCCACTTTTGGATTTTAGGGGCCCAAAATTTTTTTCCGCGCAAGCGCCGACGTTTCTTCTCTGACCTGAAATTTGGGCCCCCCCCTTGTTGGTTCCTGGATCCGCCCCTGATGTATACCAACAAAATGAAAGAAACCCTATAACTAAAGATGATATAATCATCATAACAATATGATAGGAAATTATTAAACGATTTAAATATGGATTGTGAAGATGCAGAAGATACAATAAGTAATTCTGAGTTGGAAATCAATAACCAATGAGTAAAACCTAATTCCTCCCATGCTTATTTCACCCTTTTCTCTCTAAATTATGGATGAACTATCACATATTACGGTAGTTTTAGGAAATTTGAATCACTATAATTATTATTGACCTATTCAACTTATCCATCACTAATTTCACTCCACAGCCATTTCTAATTTTGAATGTGATCATGATATGATATTCCATCAATGGGGATGTAACTGATAGATAGTTCTGAATCTAGCTTGTAATATTGTCTGTATCTACATAGATCCAGGTGAGCATAGAATAACCATACATGTATCTCCATGACAACGGATGCTGAAGAAGCAGGTAAGGAAATAATATTGCTACACAACATCACAGATGACATTATTACTAATTCAACTTAACTAACCCCCTTCCGGGATATACACTGTAGGTGGTGTAATTGAAAATTAAAATAATGGGAAGGGGAGCATGATCAATGATAAGCCACCTGTGTAACGAGTTACAAGTTGAAATTATTTAATCACCTGTTTTGGCTATGAGTTTGTGATGACCAATCATGTCCATAATCATTTGTTGGCATAAAGTTTGGCAACCTAGTGGGTTTTAAACCCTGATGAACAGTAATTTGTAATTTAATGTTACACACATGTCCGACATCACCTAGGTCTAGTTAGTTTCATATACTGTAACAGGTGAGTCATATTGCTTAATAATGATTAGATTTCTGCACTTGAAAGATTATTTAATTCCTATGTTGAGATAATGGTAGTGGTAGGAAGTCATGTTTCAAGGAATTACAGATCTTGCTCTCACATATGAAAATTATTTGGTGAAAATCATATTTTGTCATACTTGAAACCAATTTGAAACCAGCTAAATCATACACTGTATCTCTCCAACTCTTATACCAAGAATTGGGAAATCTGTATGACATCTCAAAAGTAAGCAATTGGTCTTGAGGGTTTGGCGCCACTGACAACTGAAAAAAAACCATGTACCTAAATACATTTTCTAGGATAAATTGGTGGTAATGGTTTAACAGCCTGTTGAAGTTATTCTCTTCACTATTGATTGTAGCACAATATCTTCCCATTGCATGTTCTATAAGCAGATATCATGTTGTCAGATTATTACCTGACCCTTTCCAAGTCATGGTTTGTAACAAGGATTTCTATGAAAAATAGAGGATATACCAATAAGGGAATTCAAAAGACATGAAGCACAATATCCAAATCTTATAAAAATGACCAAATGTAACATACTTCATTCAATTTTATTGAGAAAATTACAATATTATGCATTGTTTATGAAATCGTCTGTCAAAGGGAAGATCAATACTCCAGGTCAGCAATGGGAGTAAATCGGAAGTCTCTCAATGTTCGCTGATCCTGTGTTGATGGGGAATAGCTTTAGATTAGATAAATGACGGAGTTGTTTTTTTCTCCTAAGCTAAACAAAATTATACTCTTGAAGATTGTTGGTTGGAAATTGTTATTTCAATGAGGATTATTTTGCAGCAAACATGAGGTAAATCAAATTTTTATTTTCAAGATAGTTCATGAAGTTTGACAATAAAACTATTTTGGTACAAAGTACAAACACACTGACAAACAAGGAAATAATGTGATAACATTTTTATCAATTTGATAATTTTCTTATTTGCTGGTTAATACTTTTCAATAATAGCTACATGTAGTATACCATACTTTGGAAACTTAATGCATTTTTTTTCCTTATTTGATCTATTTATATGAATCATAATTAACCAATGCAATGAATGCATATCAGGATTTCTTAATCTTAATAGATCTGGGATAAGTAAGTATACAATATCACAGTAAGTATACAATATCACAGTAAGTTTATAATATCACAGTAAGTATACAATATCACTTATATTTAACATAATGACAACATTCGATCAATGATGTACTTAGAAATAAGATAGAATATCAGTAATATAATAGATTCCACCTCATGAATGGATTAATAATTGATCAAAGAATCTGTTTAAATAAAGATTGTTGAAAATATAATTTGCTATTGACAACTGGTAACATAATATTATGTCTATGGATTGCTGGACAATGTAATGCTCAAATGACATTCAGGGAACCTCATCTACATTTGATGATGTTGCCTTTAATAATTAATATTTGCCTGAACCTATTTGCTTTAAGTTACTGAGATGTTTAATCTTGCTAAATCTTGCTTTACTGCAATTTAAAGGCTGTAACATGCTAAAATATATCTCAAAATATATCTCACTCCAACCCAGTACATATTTATCTCACTCAAACCGGTACATATTTTGCATAATTATACATGTATAAAAATACATATGTGTATAATTAGTACACTAAAGTACCAGTAGGCAACTTCAATGCAATGAAATGGTAAAAAACCACTGTGACTCAAATTACAGTTATTGCCTGAACTGATGGACAGAGAGCTTTGCTATAGCCCTACTAAAACTTCTGTTTGTTGAGATAATCAAGGGGAAGTTACAGATGACCCTCGTTTTCTTGTATGCCATTTTTTAAAACTGTTTATTGCTCACTCCATTCAAAACTGACATTCTTAATAAACTGACATTTGATTTTTTAATGAGAACATACACAGATAAATTTGATTCTTTTCATTTTCATAATAGCATCCTGTCAAGTGTCAAAGGCAGGTGGACATATTCTGAACATTGCCCAGATGAGCCAGATTATATATCTATATGCAAAAGAAATATGAAAAATCTTCTCAATAGAAAAATAAAAAAGAGCTCTTAGGGATTTCCGTATTCAATTTACATGATTTTCTATTGGAGAGCCTTTTTAGTGTTATTGACGCTATTGACTCGTGTATTGTGCAGTGTTTTCTCTCTTTTGTCTAGGTTTTCTATGGAGTTTTGCATATTTCTTTGCCTCGTGGCTATATACAATGTCGTTCAGGTTTGTGCATTAAATTGCCCCTGAAATATATTCAGGGATATATTTTTTATTTGTGTCTACTGTAGTAAACCAATTAACTCCTGAAATGTTTGACTCCATCTCAACATAACACGCTATTCTAGTTTACTCAGTGTGAAATGAAGCAAAAATGTACAACCATTATGGAATTTAAAGGTACAGTAAAGCTGAAGAACACCTCTAGAGTAGAACACCTCTGTCCTCTATTAGAGGGACGCCTTCCAGGTAACACTTTTTCGAGGTACCAAAGGTGTTCCACTTGCAAAAACATTGGCATAATTTCTGAAAAAAATTCTTCCACTTCCAAAATTTGACTGTTGACATGCTGGATTCCTTTGGCCTAGATTTTCTTGAGAGATTAAGCCTCAGGTGAAAGTGTTCATATAATTCAGTGTTTATGCAGTGTTTATGAACATAGCACCAAAGTATTATATAGGGGAGGGGTGGAATAGATTAGCCTTTAAGAGATAGGTTGGATGAGACTTTAATGCATATGCAATCTGCAGTTTTCAACATTCACCTTAACTTAAGTACATCCATCAATGAATACTTGCATTAACTACACAAATATCTACACTTATTTAACACATATTGGAGTCTGAATACATAATCAAATATTTATATTGTGAGCACATACAGAAATATAAGAAAATTGATTTTAGCTTGAATCCTATACAAATACCTATAAATGTACAATAACATTCTGTATTTGTGAATATACTAAATTGTTAATAGGCTGCTGCACAACGGAGATTAATGATTTACTTGATTCATACATCAATATAGTATTAGGTAATTTCTTTCTTTATGATAAAATTGTAACATCGTCAAGCATATTTGAAGATATAGTAGTGATAAAGGAAAAGAAACAAACATTTAAAAACAACTTTTGGATTAAATAAACATTTGTATTTTCAGGTAAGAATTACCACAGTGCATGGTGCATAATGTGAGACCAGAAGTTGGGACGAATAATATGACGGAATAGAATTACAATTCAGCAAACGAGGCTGCATTCTACAGCAAATTATAGAGGGTAATAACAATATTAATGTAGCAGTAGTGAAATAGATTTACATGAGCAATGCAAGCTGTATGCAGAGTGATCATTACCTTGATTACTCAAGGAGAAATGATCAATTAAAGGTACGCTAATTTGTGACGAGAGATTGCAACAGGACACATTGACATTGGAATACATGCATGTCGCATGCTCTGTACACTAAACACTGACTTGGGACCATTGGTTAAGATTCACTTTTTAAATACCAATCATATAAGATAAAATGGTACTTTAATTTGGACACTTTATATCTGTTCGATTGAAGGGAGGACATTCGTCTGAATGGGAGACCTAACAGAAGCTGCATAAGGAATATTCTCTTGAAAACATATAAAACTAACTTGGAATCAATGTGACAAAATAGTATTGCATCAATAAACATTCATAGCTTGGGCTCTTAAATTCCACAAAGAATATAAAAGAATTCAGAAGCTATCTTCAGGATCTTTTCCTCAGATGAAAGCAGGAGAGAATTAAAGAGATGGAGTTCCCCATAGAAGCAACAATTGCCATACTGCTCACTGCTCTATTGGATGGCTCACTTGGAAAAGGTACAAATTGCAACTCATTTATTAATCATGTTATTTTAATATATTTTTCTGAATAGTGCCAAGATGCATGTAGTGTTTTCATATGGTGTTCCTTTTAATACTGAATAGAGCAGGTGAAACTTTGCCAACTAAAAAAACACATGGAAAATATTTTATGAATTTCCTTTAGGTACATGTATGAGTAATAAAAAGTTTTTTTTTATAATTTGAACAATTAAGTCTTTTGAATGCAACTTGTATGTTGTCTAATCACATAGGGGATTTCTACATGAAATCATAAGAGGACTGACCAATAAACTACATGAAATCACCAAAATATCTAAATGAAATCATACAAGGACTGACCAATAATCCACATAATACCATACAAGGACTGACCAATAAACTACATGAAATCATATGAAAATTGACCAATAAATTACATGAAATCATAAGAGGACTGATCAATAATCCACAGGAAACCATACAAGGACTGACCAATAATCTACATGAAATTATACGGGGACTGGCCAATAAACTAAATGAAATCATAAGATGACTGACCAATAACAACATGAAATCATGAGAGGACTGACCAATAATCTATATATACAATAAATCATCTAAGGACTGACCAATCAACTGCATGGAATCACACATGGACTGATCAATTAACTACTTGATTTAAATACGAGGGATGACCAATATACTCAGGAAGAACAATGGGTAACATAAAATCCTAATAATTATAAACCAAAACAATAATTTAGGATCCCAATTTCAAACTTCCTAATTATCTTTGCAGACTGCAAGGTGACAGAGCAAGGTTCTGAGTATGTAGGCACCCATTCCCATACAGCATCAGGCAAACCATGCCAGGCCTGGTCTAAACAATATCCCAATGAACACAGATTCACAAGTAAGTACATGCAGCACACATCCTTGTGCACTCAGCTCCTGGTGGCAAAGAGCACGTTTTCACGATTATTTTCATGTTCATAAATATGTTTTATATCTATCATTTTTACATTGTGACCTATTTTAACCTGTATTGTAACTACTTTAACAGGGCCAATAATGCTCCGGCGTAGGCCTTGTATCTGTTTGTATGATGTATTATGAAATAAATGAAATATAAAAATTTAAAAAAAAAGATTGAAGCGTGCGAAGATGTGCAGGAGAAATAGCTATTGTATTATTAAGAGTTAATCTATCTCACAATTACACTCATACTAAGAAATGAAAGTGGAATTCAGTTGACATCTGATGAGGAACTTAATAACATTCAATAATTCACCTACTTATGGAAACTGATATCTCTCACTATACCTGTAGTATAGATATATTGATTCCTACTCATAGATAAATCATATCCCAAGAAGTCATAGGTATAGAGAATAGATTGTGTTCATAAGATAAATGGCAACAAGTATATGTGATATACCTTCCATTTGAAACATAGTCAATTGAGGATTAACAATGAGTCTGATATATAAACAAAACACAACATTATTCCAGGTCTAAATGTCTTCACTCCAACAAGCACAATGTTTACATTATCCGAGTACCTACTTTCATTTTACTTTGAAATACATTCAATTAGCCTAAATGTCAATTTAATGACTTTAAAGGTTTTCACTTTATGTAGAGTTAAATGAGTTTGCAATTTATTTTATTGGCAGGAGGCCTTATGCATTTGTTTGTGTTTTCAAGCAATATTCCACTTGTGCACATTTGTGTTTTCAAGCAATATGCCACTTGTACACATTTGTGTTTTCAAGCTATATGCCACTTGTGCACATTTATGTTTTCAAGCAATATGCCACTTGTGCACATTTGTGTTTTCAAGCAATATGCCACTTGTGCACATTTGTGTTTTCAAGCAATATGCCACTTGAGCACATTTGTGTTTTCAAACAATATGCCACTTGTGCACATTTGTGTTTTCAAGCAATATGCCACTTGTACATATTTGTGTTTTCAAGCTATATGCCACTTGTGCACATTTGAGTTTTCAAGCAATATGCCACTTGTGCACATTTGTGTTTTCAAGCAATATGCCACTTGAGCACATTTGTGTTTTCAAGCAATATGCCACTTGTGCACATTTGTATTTTCAAGCAATATGCCACTTGTGCACATTTGTGTTTTCAAGCTATATGTGTCTGGTGCTTTAACTGTATGAAAAATCCAAAGATATTTGTTATTGATAAGCAAACAAAATAAGTGAATAAAACAATATAATTCCCAGCAATGCAGTTGGTAGTCAATCTATATTATCCAAAGAGATATCATAAATGTTCATCATTAAATCTAATATTAGTTAAATAAAGCATAGATGACAGGAATGGAATAATAGATATTCTTAACTTGGATAATGCATTTGAGATTATTAATGGTGGGTTATGAATTACATTTTGATCCACCGATGACATATAATCAATGCCTTTGTAAGTTTCGCATGCAATATTTTCTTTTCTATAAAACGGTCAGTATACAATTTCTAACAGTTAAACCTCTGTGTAGAATCATGAATCACAAGGAGCAATCAGATTGTGCAAAGCACAAAATAAGACACAAACTACTAACAAATCATGCAATTCTATATCAACCAACTCATCAAATTGAGAAACTGTTTGTGATAAAATGGGAGGGGTGATGTGGATAAAAATCATATCATATAAGAAACATGTTGGATAATCTTTTCATCCTAATAGATTCATTTGATTACTAGAAATTTAATGTTTAGTTATAAAACACAATACCAGGCCCGTAGCCAGAGGGGGAGCTGGGGGAGCGGAAGCTCCCCCCCCCCCTGGCCAGAAATTCTTGCAGTTTTTCACCATTCTGAGAAGTTTTTGCACGATTTTTAGCCAAAATTATGAAAAAGCTCCCCCCTGGAAAAAAGCTCCCCCTCCTGGTAAAAGCTGGCTACAGGCAATGCCAACACATACGCACTTACACACGAACCTGGACTCGAGTTCCAAGAACTCAGTAGACAAAGTTCATATTACAGAAAGCCACATTTTTAGTTAGAACACAACATTTTTGTGTTGTATCAAACATTATTGTAATAGATTCTTGTCCATGTATTTTAGTTAGTACACATTCTAAGAGACATTAATTTCCTTGAAATCAACCCCGGGAATCAACCCAGGAGATTGGTGTAAATATTAAGCCTACAATTATGACTCTAGGTGATAAAGACTATCCTGACAAAACCATCACAGCTGCCCAGAACTTTTGCCGCAATCCTGACGAGAGGTGGTACCCAGGGCCTTGGTGTTACATAAATAGAAGAGGTGCTGACCCAGAGTGGGAAGAATGTGGTCTCGAAAGATGCGGTGAGTTTCGCTAGGGGGAGAAGGTGGGAAAACTCAGCAAATAAGTATTTAAATAAAGGATGAAATATTCAAAAGCATGAAATTAATTATCATTGGATGAAAGGGAAATTTTTTTAACTTTCTGCAAAATAATAACTGCATTCTATCTAAGAAGTGGACATCCCAAAGACCGCAAAGAGTATGCAGAATTTAGTTGCAATCTAACTTCTGAACAATTTAGACAATTTTACAGCTCCGCAGCCTGCCCCACATTTCTCAACCAATTAGCAAACAGAACTATAATTCTAATATTGCTCAATGGTGGATTAACAATGCTGTCAGAGGATTCTGAACATGTATAAGTAATCTACCATGTATAAATATTTCTCTTCTGTCAACAACAAGCTTTGATAAGAAAAAAGTCAAACGAATGTAAGGGGTACCAAAAAATAGCACTTATTAACAGTTACCTGGTAAAATATTCATTCAGTTTTGCAGTACTTAGTACTTCACTTGTTTCTTATGAAAGAGCTACAGATCAATACAAAGGAAATGTGCACTAGAAAAACTAAATGTTAAGTAGGATATTAGTCTGATCAGAAATCAATTAAAAAAATAATTAGTAATCTTTGGCTCTAAGTTATGAAGGAGAATCAAGTGCAAATGAAGTACTTGTATAAAAATATAGAACAATATAGGCTGAAAACAGACACAATAGTGTTTTCAGGCACGATAGGTTTCTGTATCATTGTGTGTCATTTTGAATATAACTTACACTTGGCTATTTGATAATTTCCAATGTAGATGTATAGAAGCCTAAAGTTAATGTTTTTTTCTATATCAAGACATTGAATAACTTAATATTTTTGTAAAAAGCCTAAAATTAACGGCCAATTTACCTAAATCTAAAATTGTGTTTTAACGCAAAATATGGTATCATCAAACAAACAACAGGATAGTACGCAAACAAACAATCAATATTCAAATCAACATTTAACTTTTTTCAGCTAAAATCAACACACAGGGAGGTCCAGTGGCAGAGGGTTCCACATGTACATTCCCATTCAAGTTCAAGGGTGATATCTATCATTACTGTATTACAAGGAACAATGGTGGCCATCCATGGTGCTCAACTATTTACGATTTTGACTCTGATGTAACAAAATGGGGTAATTGTATTGGTAAGTGTGACAAGAGGGATTAATTATATTGGAAGTTTGACAAGAGGTGTTAATTGCATTGGTAAGTGTGACAAGAAGGATTAATTGCATTATGAAAGTGTGACAAGAGGTGTTAATTGTATTAGAAAGTGTGACAAGATGGATAAATTGCATTGAAAAGTGTGACAAGAGGGGTTAATTGTATTGGAAAGTGTGACAAGGGGGATTAATTGCATTGAAAAGTGTGACAAGAGGCATTAATAGTATCGAAAAGTGTGCCAAGATGGATTAATTGTTATTGGAAAGTGTGACAAGAGGTGTTAATTGTATTGAAAAGTGTGACAAGAGGGGTTAATTATATTGAAAAGTGTGATAAAATGGGGTGTTTATATTAGTAATTGTGACTAAATGAGGTAATTGTATTGGTAAGTGTGACATAATGGGGCAATAAAATTATACATGTACTGGTATTGCGACAAAATGGGACAATTGTATCGGTATTTTATCAGCTATTTTGCCAAATACATGTAGTCATGTTGCTTTAAAGAATATCGACCTTTTCAGTTCATGGAGCATGGAGTTCATGGTCAGAGTGGACAGAAGAATGTAGTAGACTGAAGTCAGAAATGATGTGTAGAAAGACACGTAACCGCCGATGTAACGACCCGTCTCCCGTTCTAGGTGGAAGGGCATGTGTAGGAAAAACATTTGAGGAGATTAACTGCAAATGGGTTGAATGTTCAAAAGAAGGTAAAATAAAACCTGCTTTAGTTGAACACCTTTGGTACCACTGAAAAAGTGTTCTACTTGGGAGATGTTTCACTTATAGAGGTTCATTTAACATTAAGTAATAAGTTTGTCATGGGATTCTGAAAAGTGTTCCACTAACAGAGGTGTTTCTCTTCTAGAGGTGTTACGCTTTACTGTATAATGATGCTGAATGCAGTGTTATCTAGCTTAACATGTAACGACACATAATTACATTTTAAATGTCTTAGATTACTTAGCTAAATAATCATAATTAATTCAAAATTCAATTAGCAATTTAAGGTAAGACAACTTGATAGTCTGACCTCATTATATGTAAATTAATAAATACCTTTCTTAAACATTTGTAATTTAATTTAGATTGAATTATCAATATTTATCTAACAACTCTTTAATTTCAAATCGACAGTCAAAACTTTCTTTGAACCTTGGCAAGTTGCTGTCATTAAACTACTAATGTTTAGTTTACTCAGATATGAGATTTTTAATTGATCATATTTAGATTGGGTTAATTTAAAAAGCAATTAAAAAGCAATTAGCTTAGTCAGGAGTACATGATACTGAAAGCTTCTCACTTGAAGTTCTTAATATTGAGATATTATTTCATAGTCTGTTTTTTGCACTTTATTAATGTTGTGTATGTTTTTTAATGTCTTTAAATCATATCTGTAAAACAAAACATTAACCTGACATTTGTAACAGACACTTACCACCGAATGCTGTTACAGATGCCAAACACCAACCATCAAATGTAAAACACCAACCGGCAAACACCAGCCACAAAAGAGTTGGAGACTGTAACAATAACATAAAATCAATGTTAAATGAGTTATTTCAAAAACTAAAATTTCACTCTTTCTTCATATTTTGTTTATTTTCAGCCCTGATCATCTTCGTATGTGTTGGATGTGTTGTTGGGATAGGAATGTTGATAGCAATAGGTATCTGTATATACAGAGCACGAAGGGCCTGGCTCTTTAAACAAGGACAAACTACAACATCTAATAACACACAAAGACAAGAGGGGCAAAGACAAGGACCTGAACCTGTCAATCTTCCACTCCTTCCAAGTGCTCCTCCTATAAATCAAGAGGGACCTCCTCCTTATCACCATAGTGACCCACAAAATGGCCACAAATCTGAAAATGAGGCTGGTGATCTCAGCAAACTGGATCTAGCTGCAGATAATACACACATTCCTAGCTCTATAACTATAGAGACTGCTCCAGGAGTTGATGTAAGGGTACCTCCTTTTATACACCCTGATGCCCTTTTACATGGTGCAGGACCTAACTATAATGCAATCTCACCAAATACTCATTTACTAGCGACATCTTTACATCAACCTCCAAGTTATTCAGACATTTACAAACCAGAGCATAACCAAGAACCAAAATCTTAATGAATCCATGAATTATGTATCAAACCACATTGTATTAAGAATCATTTTGATGGTAGTTATTAAACAGTTAATTTATTCTATCCACAAGATTGAATAGTTGAACAACTCTTAACATATCTTGGTCAAACTGTCCATAATAGCAAATACTTTCTAGAATTGCAAATATGTTTTTTAATTGCTTATACCGGTATATTGGGACTTTGAACAATGTTCAGATTAACCCATTCTTGGAGAAGTACATTGCATAACTTTTACAACAGTTGCATTTTCATTGATTACTCTCAGGGTACCCAAATTGATTGAAGCGTACACCAGAATCCAGACAAATGAATGAACAATGGGGAGTATGCATACCTGTTAGTCCCACTTTACTGAAACCTGAATAATATACCTAAGTTAAGATAATTCATTTGACAATCGATAAACCCAAACCCACTTATATTTAAGTTCATGAAGAAACCAATATCAGTTGGTTTAGGGGAAATGTCAAAAAACATAATTAATTACATTAGGGTAGAGCCCATTTAATTAGGTGATGGACATAGATTTTTAGTTTCCCAAAGATTCATCTTCTGCAAAGATATGATCAATAAATATGCAACAGCTATGTAAGAGAATCAACATTTTAACTTTCATTAGATAGGGAATATGGGGGGTTAAGACCTAACTAAATTTATTAAGTTTTTGATGGACAAAGAAATATTGACCCGGCCAATTAAGATATTATTGCATAATATGCAACCATCTGAATATTCTGAACAGTACACCATGTTTTAGATTACAGAAAGATAAGAACCATATCCTACTATATTTAAAAGTTTGGGCTCCTTTCTCCCAGCTAGCTCTTCTGGAGTATAAGGGTGTGCGCTTCAGTCCATTCAGGTACCCTGCTTCTTTGAAACATAAGAAATAGTCAATTCCAATTTGTTCTAACAGAAATCCTATTTTCCCCAACAGATGATGTGCTAATACTAGATTAGTATTATGAATATAAAAACAATGTAATGTGAACGACAGGCAAAGCATATCATACCACACAATACCACACAAATTGTGTTTAAAAACTTTATTGTGCATGTTTTCCTAATGCAGCCAACATTTTCTTTTTATCATATTGAGTTTGTTTCAATGATTTTAGTTTTCCTTAATAAAGAATGCCATCTTTATCAGATTACTGTATTGAAAATTTATTAACACAAGCAGAGTCTTGTCTCCAGTTTTGTAAAATGTATTGTGAAATCAAGGAGGATTGGGTCCCAGAGTGCAACATCGATATTCTGTCCCATATTTGGAGATGTTGTGATACAAAATTTTAATTCAAACGACGACCATTTTGTTCACTT